CAATTGCAAATCCATCTCTTCAATAATTTTAAAATTGTGCTTTTCTTAGTTTATTGGCATAAGTTATATATACTCATATGAATGAACTATTTTCATAAAAAGCAAAACTGAATTTAGTTAACTAATTACTAATATTTTTTAGTCAAATAGTTTTAATTGTTTCAAATCTATTTTTATTACTGTATTAAAAATAGATTTGATTATCTGAAATCAAAAACTTGAAAATCAAATTTTTACTCGATTGACTAATTTGGCTATTATTTATAAAATTTTTTATATATATAAAAAAAACCTCTGGGCAGCCGGGTCTAAAAATTTTTGAAATGTTATATAAACCAGTAAATTTTATTTGTATCATCTAATTTAGAATCAGTAATGTAATTTGTGCATACTAGAAAATAAATAAATATAGGTTTGATCTGTGTAAATGAACTTTTACCTCTATCTATGCAAATGAGATTTACTTTATTATCTTAAATAAACTAGTACCTAATAAATGTTGTAAGAGAACTGTTGTTAAAAGGATGAATTTTAGTGTAGGTTGGAAATAAAGAGAGGTCTGGTGTTAGAAAGAAGTGTGGTGGAAAAAGAATAGTGTGTGCATAAATAATATATATGCAAACCTTCTGGTGTATCAAGCTATTACAATTTCTGAGTAATCAAGTCAAGAGTATACAGTGGTTAGAAACGATGAACAATCAAAAAAAAAAAAATTCAAGCCTGCATATATAAGTAGTTAATATATAAAAAATTCTTGTTTGAATAGTAACTTACACATTATTAATATTAACATTATCAGAAGTCAACTTCATATTTATGAAAGTATAACCTTCGCATTCATAAATTATATGGATTATACAGATGAGAATTTGGATATACCTATGATTAATTTAAGGAAAAACATGTTTGCAAATTATATGAAAAATGCATTTCTTAGTTGTATAGAAAATATATTCATGAAAAATATGTTTACAGAAAATATGTTCATGAATAATACATTCACGGAAAATACATTCACAGAAAATATAGAGAATACGTTCACAAATCCTATAGGGAATATATTTGTGAATTCTATGAAAAACATGTTTATGAGTTTTATAAAAAATATACTTACAAATCATACATGTGTGATACTTACTAATCATATATGTGAGACACTTACAAATCATATGTGGGATGCACTTGCAAGTAATTCAAGAGATATATTTACAAATTATGCAAACGATATATTTACGAATGATATAACACAAATAAATGCTCTTAATACTATAGTTGGTAATAATAATACTGGGGTGAGTTAAAATTGTGCATGCTTGTCTTCTATTACCAATCATTTGTCTAACTACTAGGAACTGGAAACTAGTGTAAGTCTGGAGCTTAATTTAATAAATTTATTATTTTAAAAATCTTATTATATATACTATAAATTAAAATTTTTAAAGATATTATATCTAGAAAATATTAAAATTATATTTTTAATATTGTTATTATAAATATATTAAAAATATAATTTAGTTATTAAAAGCTATAAAAGTATAAATTTGTGTTTTGCTTTAGACAATAATTAATAAAAAATAAAATAAAATAAAAAATAAAGTAAAATTAAAAATTATAAAATAAATAAATAAAAATAAAATAAAAAATACAATAAAAAATAAAGACATTATTTTATAGTGACCTGTCACTATGGCGACCTATGATTGACCAATCAAAATTGATCATGTGACCCTATTAATTTATTTATTATAATTTAAGTTTATTTATAAAAAAAAATACAAAAAAAAAAATAAAGCTAAACTAATGAACATCTTATAAACATCATTACACAACATAACACAAAAGCTTTAATACCACGAAAAACCTACTACAAATTTTGCAAAAAAATTCTAATGATTTCCAAAGATGGCACCAAAATCCACTTCGACTTAAAGTCATATAATGGCTTCAATGATGACTCCAAATGACAGCACCAGAATCACATGATGACTCACCTAATTTTATATATAAATTTATACAAAAAATTTATTTAAATTAAATTTATTTAAAAATATATATATAAACCTTTCTTTAAATTTTAAATATATATTCTTTAGCATTTAATAATCTTTAATTTAAAGTTTTAGTTCTTAATTTCAAGTAGTTTTAAAAGAATCTTCCTTTAAAGTTGATATATTTTTTATCTTTACAATCTCTGTAAAATTATATTATTATTTAAAGCAATAATATGATTGGTTAAAATAATCTTTTAAAAATTAAAGAAGGTTCTATTAAATAAAAGTTTTTTTAGCTTTAAGTAAAGTTAAAAAGGGGGTTTTTCTGGTTCTAATAGTAGTTAAATCATCAAAATTGGCTTGGTGAATCCCAAGATACTTGGGATCAAAGAAGAGAATATAAGGATCTGCAAATTCATTGTTACACAAAGTATTATAAATTATAATACTTTGTATAACAGTGAATTTGCAGATCCTTATATTCTCTTCTTTGATCCCAAGTATCTTGGGATCCACCAAGCCAATTTTGATGATTTAACTACTATTAGAACCAGAAGAACCCTCTCTTTAACTTTACTTAAAGCTAAAAGAAACCTTTACTTAATAGAACCTTCTTTAATTTTTAAAAGATTATTTTAACTAATCATATTATTAGATAAGATGAGTCACTCATTTGACTTAAAGAACATAATAAAGAATTGATCAACTTTAAAGAAAGATTCTTTTTAAACTACTTAAAGCTAAAAATTAAAACTTTAAATTAAAGATTATTAAATGCTAAAGAATATATATTTAAAATTTAAAGAAAGGTTTATATGTATATTTTTAAATAAATTTAATTTAAATAAATTTTTTGTATAAATTTATATATAAAATTAGGTGAGTCAACTTATTTGATTTATAATAGCATTTAGGTTAGACATGTCTTATGACTGTTAGTTATTTATACTAACTTTATTCTATATTTATTTATATACTTATCAATCAATCTACCAATAAACAAATACATACTACTATTATTCTTTTTTCTTTATCACACCACACTACTATTACATTTATTACTATACTCTTTATATCACACTTCTCTACTTATTACCTCTTTTCTATCATACTTTCTAAAAACATTTTTTCTCTATATCCATCTCTTGTCCAACAAAAATCGGCTATATCTCAAGATTTTACTAAGCAAATCTTACCTGACTACTTAATAGCATTTATTTCTAAGACTAAAATACATATAATACTAAAATATTAAAGTTATATCTCTTAAATTCATTAAGATAATAAACAAAAATTCTTATATAACCTAAATTAATTCTCAAATTTTATCCATAATTCATTCAACAAAATTGACAATATCTTAAGATTTTATTAAGCAACTCTCACCTAACTACTTAATAGAATTTATTCTCATAATCAAAACATACATAATACTAAAATCACAGAGATGTATCTTTTAAACTCATCAAAATAATTAACAAAAAGTCTCATATGATCTAAAAATTTTGTCCATATTTGTCTAATGAAAATCAGCTATATCTCAAGATTTTATTAAGCAAATCTTATCTGATTACTTAATAGGATTTATTTCTGAAATCAAAATACATATAATACTAAAATCTTGGATTTGTATCTTTTAAATTCATTGAGAAATTTAATAAAAAGTCTCATATAACCTAAACTAATTCTTTTTTGAACATCAACCGCACAACATGTCTCAACATAGATTTCCTCACCACTAGCTTAATATTGACAATTTTTTGGACTGGTTCTAAGCATTTTCTATTGACAATGAGGAAGAAAATCAAACTCAATTTTCTACACCATTAGGTGTCCAAGTACTTGATTTTGTTAAACCATTTTTTCAAAACTTCTATCTGGGTAGAATTATTTCAACAGAGACAACTAATCAATACAGTATCAAAAGTAACTTTAATGATCTCTTACAAAACATGGCCTCTCACAACTACAATTTGTTATAGATCTTATTCACCAAAACAAGCAAAATATATATCATATCAACATATCTTCTAACTATTTACTATTTATTCTTAAAGATATTCTACTTAACTTTACTACTATCCTCTTTACTAAACTAAATTACAAAAAAATTTTTCATTCTCACCACCACACTCTATCCCTAAACATTCTCAAATTGTCATCAATCTTGCCTGTTTACATCTCTTTCTTCAAAACCAATACAAAATGATTAATTATATAAAATTTTTTAATAATTTAAATCTTAAACTTATTTGAATAATACTTCATTTTAATACTATATTTAACAATGACAACCAACTTCTCCTCAAAATTAAAAATGACTCTAAATACAATGTTTATATTATATTAGATATTTCTTCTCAAAATTTTTTTAAAATTTTTTATATTCCTTTATTTAAAATATACTATACCCTATTCGATAAATAGTTTTTAAAATTCTTTAATTCTTATAAAAAACAATTTATACATATTAATGAACAAA